AGTAGGTAGTAGTAGGTAGTAGTAGCTAGTAGTAGCTAGTAGTAGGTAGTAGGTAGTAGGTAGCAGGTAGCAGGTAGTAGGTGTTAGTAGTAGTAGTAGTAGTAGTAGTAGTAGTAGCAGGCGTGGCGGTAGTAGTTGAAGTAGTGGCAGAGGTAGGAGTACATTTATAGGAATCAGCTTCAGCAGCAGCAGTTGGCAATGGTGGTTGCCAGCGTTACTTTCGCTGCTGACATTCACTGTAAGGCTGTAATGTGCTGTCATGATGTAATTGGACTCATGCTCAGTGCGGATAGGTTCTACCGTGAGACCTGTGGCATGGACGAGACCGACGCGGTTCCGGACTGCCCGATGTTCAGCGAGGGCGCCAAGGCGCCTGTTGCTGTAGACAAGGTTTTTACCAGGGTTTCGCTGTTGCACCGAAGGATTGCCATACAGTAGCATGAAAGAGCCGGACTGTAAATTGCATGTTTCAGATGTTTTGAGATTAAGGTTGTCCGATATCCTCAGCAGCTGCCCCTGGTTCTTTTCCTGGACAAGGACTGCCACGTCGCACTTTAGAAGCGCACTGTCTGCGAAAATTGGTAGCAAAGGCTCGAGTGTTCGACAAGTCACGCCTTCGACGATAAAGAGTGCCTGCCTGATCAGCAAAATACTTCCAACCCAGTTCTAAGCCAGCTGTTTTGTGCTCAGGGGTCGTGTTTCTGTCTATTGTAGGATGCTCTGTGCAGGATTCAACACCTCCGCAGATCACACAATGGGAAGGGCGGCACGCCATCGCAATTCCTGGGAAAGCCCTCCGGGCCATCTACAAGAGAATCATTGACAGCCATGGCACCTCGGTTCCCGAGCAATATATGGGTGACAACAGGATTTGAAGGGCTTCCCGCGTTGGCGTCGAGTGTTTGAGGCATGGTTCTTAATTCCGGGTGCATGTATGAGACGTGTAGAAGGGTGTAGCTCCAGGTGCCGACGGCAGCGTGCTCCACCACATCCGTGTACCCTGGCGCAACAGCAAGAATTTCGGATGTCCATCCGTGAAGCTAGCATCACCAAGCAGCCCCAGTAGCGACCTCTGACAACAACGACGTCGACGACACCGACAACGACAACACCAACAACAACTTCTTCTTCTACTAGTACTAGTACTAGTACTACTACTACTACTACTACTACTACTACTACTACTACTACTACTATTACGACGACTACTACGACGACGACTACGACGACGACTACTACTACTACTCCTACTCCTACTCC